ACTATCCCAGGTTCCCACCAGAGGAGAACCACAGTTTATTTCATCTTAAAATTTATAGTTCATCATGAAGGAAGTCAGGGCAGGAGCCCAAGCCAGGAACCTGGAGACAGGACCTGAAGCAGAAATCGTGGAGGAGGTTGCTTACTGACTTCATTCCCATGGCTTGTTCACCTTTCTTTCTTTCACCATCCAGGACCACCTGCCCAGGGGTGGCACTTCCAATATCAATCATTACTCAAGAAAATGAATCATTCTTGACCACAGCTCAGTTTAGTGAGTACACTTTCTCAGTTGAGGTTTTCTTTTCCCAGATAACCCTAGTCTGTGTCAAGTTGACAGAAAATTCAGCATATGCCCAAGTGTAAACTGTGTCTGCCTAAACCCTCTTTTGTACCAAAGGATGGATGTTCTCCCAGGCTGAGGCATGACCCCTCAGGGGCAAGAAGAGGCACACATTGTTCTAGGTGTCATTTTCCCTAGGCAGGACCTGATAGAGAGCAGCTGTGTCCACACTGGAACTTATCCACACTCATCATCCTGACCTCCTTTTGAGGTCAGATGAAGGCACAGTGAAAGAGTAAGATAAGCTGGCTGAGGAGCCAGTTCAGAAGAACTATGGGGCAGGGAGGAAACTAGTGCTTAAGTACCCACTGTGGTCAGCTCACCATGCACAGAAGAATAATGGTTGTAGGTGGTTCTCACTGTATTCCCTGGGAACTTACCTGGCACTGCTAACAGTCCTGCTGTGCTGGCTAGGTTTATGTCAACCGGACACAAGCTATAGAGGAGGGAATCTCGATTAAGAAAACACCTCGTAAGATGGGATGTTAGTCAAGCTTATAGAACATATTGTAATCAGTGATTGGTGTGGGAGGGCCCAGCACATTGTTGGTGAGACCAACTATGGTCTGGTCATCATATATATATATATATATATATATATATATATATATATATATATATATATATATATATATATATATATATATGACAACTGAGTAAACCATGAAGAGCAAGCCAGTAAGCAGCACTCTATGACCTCTGCATCAGCTCCTGCCTCCAAGTTCCTGCCTTTTTTTGAGTTCCTGTCCTGATTTCCTTTAGTGGTGGACTATGATATAGAAGTATAAACCAAATAACCCTTTCCTCTCCAAGTTGCTTCGGTCATGGTGTTTCCTCACAGCAATAGAAATCCTAAGACTCCAGCCATGTCATTTACTTGGGCATTTGATTATCTGTGAACTGTCCTTTCCTCACCTGGAAGATATTTCCTTCACTGGATTTGGAAGAAGATGGCATCTATCCTCCACCCTTTCTGTCACCTTCAGCCCTACCTCAAACCTCAGCCAGGGCAGGGATACAAACTTAACTTAAAGGTGGCCTCAAGTTTATTCGTCATCTTGGTCTGACCACACAGCCAGGTAGTGCCCTGATGCCCCAGTGGGTCCTTCTTTCTCTCATCTGTTGACAATGCACTATGGGTCCAGGTCTGCTAAAGAAGTCATGCCATGTGTCTGTTTACGTTATGACAGTGAAAGCAAGAACAACTAAGCTGAACAAACCTTCTGCCTCCACCTCCCACCCCTGACAGCAAACAAACTTCTCTCACACACATGATCTGCAGTTAAAGAAGCATATGAGATTCCAGCCCTGATAAGACCCTGGGGAATGCAGGTCCCTTGAAGGAACCATGGCTAGTTCCAGGAGCAGTATCTAGGGCCTGGCTAGTTCTCCTAGAAGGTAGAATTTCTTGTCAGTGCTCAGCAGTGGGTAGGTAAGTACCACACCCTGTTGGAAGCAGGATTGTCAAATTATATGTCCCAGAGTGACTGCTCCCAGCATACACATGTAAGTTGGTATAAGCAAGGCTATACTCGCAATCTTTTCTATCTACCTGCTCATCCACAGCTTCAACAAGAGCAAACTCTTCTTCCATGATCACCACTGTTTGCAGCCCTAGCTGAGGGCAGCACAATCTCAGAGAGAGGTCATGGTCATGCGATTCAGGAGGCAGCATCTGGTTCTGCTCAAGGAAGACCGAGAAGATGTAGAAAGACCTCTCTTAAACCCCAGCATCACTTGCTTTCTATGAGACTCTTAAGCGGCAACATCCTTCTTCGTGAAGTATCCCATGACCCCAGCCAGGGCACTGGGCTTAAGCACTGTGGGCAGCTCCTGACTTAGGCTGTTAGCCTGGGAACCTGAAGATCTGCATTTTTCTGGTTTAGTCCTCAGGCTTAAATACTTCATCATTAAATACTTCTTCCCCTAAAGAAGGAGGACATCCACTTTGGATGGAGTGTGTGTGTGTGTGTGTGTGTGTGTGTGTGTGCGCGCATGTGTGTTGGAGGGAGGAGTATGATGTTCTTCCCCAGATCAGTGTTAGCCTCTAGGCATTGCTATGCAAGTACCGTAGCTTTGTGTGGATAAGTTGAGTTGGCCTAGCTGTCACTTCCCACTCCATGTTTGTCTAGCCTGCAAGTTGTTATAGCGTCCTTCCTAGGTATGTAAGCTTTCAGGACCGTGCTTTTGTGTCCTCTGATCCCTGGCACTTGTGTTGTTGTAAATAAACTTAAAAAAAAAAAAGAGTGTTGGGATATAATGTTTATTATTAGCCCTAAGATTATCTCAGCAGTATTATCTAACCTGCTATCACAAATAATAAGACACAGACACCTGTTAGATTTATAATTGCCTTATTTACCTCGGGAAGATATATTTCTTACACTGTCTCAGTCTACTCACCATCCATCTCCCAGCCCCCATCCAATGCCATCCACCTTCATCTTCCTCATCTGATCTACCTTCCATCCATAATCCCATGGTACTTGCTTTTATTCTGGGCCGTTTATTTTAGCCTGGGCTTTTCCACTCCGTTATTGGGGTCCTTTCTTTTGGCCCATGTGGTTTCTTCTCCGTGCTAACCCATCGTGGCATCCTCCTTCCTCTTCTCTTTCCATCTGACTCTTTCCTGTGACTTCCTGTCCTCAAAGCCCTGGAACCTTAGCCACACCTATCCCATTTTGCCTGCACAGGTATAGGCCCTTTAATTAGCCTATCAGGTAGGTTTATGAAACATGGATAGGGATACCCAGATCTTGAAGGCTGGTAACCTCCTTGTTGCTGGCCTGGTGTTCAATGCACATTGTCAGGAGTGCAGATAGAGGTGTTTAAGGAAAAGCAGATACAGAGAATGTCTGAGCCGGGGATGGTCAGGCTTCCATGAAGCTTCACTTTGGAGCCCTGTCAGTCCAAGCCATTTGGTGCTTCTGAGGTCCTTCACAGAACAGAGTCATAGCATTCTGGGCTTGGGCACTCCCAAGGAACCCAAGCTAGTGGCCATTCCTGAGAAAACCTTTCCTGGACAACACATCTGGTGGCAAGGTGTCCTATATCCTCTCATCTGCATTTTCGTTCATATACTCTTGCAGCTACAGGAATATTGATGCGGAGATGGGCATGACCAAGCATGTCTGGCTGTCTGTGGGTTTTGTTCTTTCAGGTCTCCTTGCACGATAACATTAGCACACTCCATGAGCTACCACGCTCTGCACCACAGATCTTGTGTGTTTGTGGACATCCACTTTACTAGACCCATTGGGGTTTGCCTGGGATCAGCATCCAGCACCATTTCCTTTCAGTGGTGTTTATTTTATTCTCCATGCCAGCCCAGATCATTTTGCTACAGTGGCTAATAACCCCAAGTCCCAAGTGCTGAGTAAGCCACTTAGTGTGGCTTTCCTGTACCTCTTTACTCTGAGACCCAGACTGCAGGAGCCATGTTCTCTGGCACCACAGGAATTTTTTTTTTAAGACAGGGGGTCTCTGTGTATCCTTGGCTGTCCTGGATGCACTTTATAGACCCATCTGGCCTCAAACTCACAGAGATCCACCTACCTCTGGGATTACATGCGTGTGTCACTGTGCCTGTTCACCACAGGGATCTTGACAGGAAAGTGGTGGAGGAGCCTAGTATAGCCTTGAAGTGGCAATGCCACCTCTGTTCCCTGGTATTGGCCAAAGAAAGCTATTACTAGCCATTCCTGATGCCCGTGGAGGACACCATCCTGTAGGGAGGAAGGTGAAGGACAGCCCTTGAGAAGGACCAGCCTTCTGCACTAGACCACCCTTCCTTGGGAGTCTAAGAAATCTCCCAGATATCTTTAACTCTCCAAGTACATTCCTGTTGATAGAGCCCTGTCCCTCTTCCTTATCACAGGCTCTTGCCCTCTCTGGCCACAGCAGGAGACCTCTGGACCTGGCCTGCACCTCTCCTTTTGTTCAGCTGAACCTACTCTCCCTCCGCCGCCGCTCTGTTGCATACTTCTCTCTTCCAGGGCACAGCCTGGCATGGGCATGGCAAGGATAGCAGGTGAAGGTGTGGGCACTGCAGTGCTTGCATAACTAGTCTGAAGCCTCCTTCTGTCAAGAGAGTTACCCATCTTGCAGTAGCCTGTGTTGCTGGTAGGTGCTGGGTGTCAGCCTGCCATGTACTCAGGGGAGTAGAGGCTGGTGCCATGATGATGGATGAACGAATGAGGAAGCCAGAGCTGTGCCCAGGATGGAAGTAGAGTGCACACTGTGGGGCGTATCAGAAGTTTGGCAGCTGACTGATTCCTCAGTTGGGGAGAGGTGAGATGGGATGACAGGGGAATCCAGCAGCTGAGCTTATCAGCAACCGTGGTTAAGAGGAGGAACCTCACATGTGGCAGAGGGCTGGACCCATCAGCAGAGCTCAGAGATAGTGCTGGGCCCCTCAGGAGGGAGCCAGGCTTTTGTACAAGTGGCGATGAGCAGACACACCCTTTGGGCCCTCCTGGGTAGGACTTTGGGACCCTGGGGATAGGAAGGCTTCTGTTGTAATATGGGAATCCTCACCTTTTCATGTGGGCTGTGTATCATGGGCTGACTGGAATGGTGATATTTGCACGTAAGAATCTTCCACATCATGGTTAGTTTTTTTTTTCTTTGTTGATGGGCTTTGTTTGTTTTTGATACAGGCTAGCGACATCTGGGAAGAGGAGCCTCATTTGACAAACTGCCTCCATCATACTGGCCTGAAGGCAAGTCTATGGGGACATTGATTATTAATGATTGGTACAGGAAGGCCCAGTGCACTGTGGGTGGTGCTGCCCCTGGGCAGGTGGTCCTGAGTGCTATAATAAAGCAAGATGAGCAGGCCATGTGGATCAAGCCAGAAAACAGCACTCCTCCATGGTCTCTGCTTCAGTGCCTGCGCCCAGATTCCAGCCCTGGCTTCCCTTCACACCGGACTATACGCTGTAAGATAAAATAAACCCTCCTCGGGCTGGCTTTGGTTATGGTGTTATCTCAGCAACAGGATGCAAACTGGGACCCTTGGATTTTGGAATCACAACTTGCACATTGAGACTGAAGGTGACTGTGTCGCTAGGGGTAGCACACATAAGCCTCGCCACGAGGCACTGGCAGCTCATGCTTGTTTCTATGCTCTGTTTGACAGCTTTGCAAGGCTGTGCTTGACATGTATTTAAGGTATGACATGTAAGGATGCCCTGGGACCTTCTGTTGACCATATCCTGACCCAAGACCTGGAATGTATGATACCCACAGCCATGAACTGCCAGCCCCACCCTGCTTTCTGTCTCCTCAATTCATGTCTATCATCCCCTTGTTTTTGTGTGGTTTAAATAGTTCTGCATCACTTTGCACAGACAATGTTGGTAAAATGTGTTTACTGCAAAACAATATATTGTTTAGTGTTGCTTCATGCCACAATATTTGCGTCTTCTGAGACTGGCTTTTTCAGATCCAGCTTTGTTTCCTGGCTGCAGCCATGTGCTGCAGGAGCTAGCTTCGGATTCTCACCAGGCTTGGCATTACATAGTGCGAGCGTTTCCTAATTTGGACACGAGTTTTGCTGCTGTGAACAGCACTGCCATAGGCTGCTTGGCAGGCTGCTGGTGGGGTCAGGGGTCAGGGCCTCTGTAGATATGCCCTCTCCTGTGGCAAGGGTCTTGAGTGTGTGGGTGGCTGGACTTCTTCAAGGGAGGCTGGACATTTCCAAGGTGGTCAGAGTCGTGCCTCCCCTAACGTGTATGAGCTCATCATTCTGACCGGCTCCCACTCCTCCAATATTCCATATTGTCAGACGCCTTAATTTTTGCCAATCTGCTGGGTGTAAAATAGTATCTAATTGTAGTCTTAATTTGCATTTCCCTGATTACTAACGAGGCTAGAATTTTCATGTGTTTATATTTGTGTTTCCTTTGCTGTGGAAAGTCTGTTCATGCCTTTTGCCCATCTTTACAATCGGGTTGTTGGGTTTTTATGCCTTAATGGCTGAGAAATGTGTGCACACACATGGCAGGCCCCATCTAGGTACACATCTCCATGGGTTGACACAGCCTGGGAGGACCACTTTCCTCTTGAGCTGCCTTACAGTCTGCAGATGATCTGGGATCCTGCCTCATTTGCAAGCTCCCTACATTGAGGGCCTGAGAGCCTCCCACCTTTGTTTCTTTGAAAGACTTAATATTCTGCTCCTGACATCTGCCTCTCCTCCTCAGGTTCCCCCTGTGAGGGGGCGTCTCCCAGCTGCTCCCCCCCCCCCCCCGCCCTTTGAGAACAACACCCCAAGGCCCCTTACTCTTTTGTGTCCCACAGGCTACTGTATGACAAACGCTGAGCTCCATGTTTGTAGTTTCATTGTGACAATGATGGGCATGCACTAATTGAGAGGTTGAATTAAGATAATTAGCACAGCCCCCAACCCCAGCTGACTATGGCCTTTATGAGGAGAACTTCACAATGCACTCTTTACCAGTGGTTCTCTTGCTGTGACGGAATACCTGAGAGAGGCCACTTCGGGAAGGAAGGGTTCATCTGGCTCATGATTCCGGGGCTCAGCCCGTCACTGTGAGAAGGTAGGGCGGCTGGTGACTTTATGTTCACAGTCAGGAAGCAGGGGGTGGGGCAGTACTGGGGCTGCACTTGCTCTCTCCTTTTTACCCCAGCCTGTGGAATGTGTCCCCCCACCATATCAAGGTTTACTTTTGTTTGTGTCGTTCCTTCTCAGGTAAACCTTTCTGGAAACACCCTCTCGGACACATCAGAGATGTTTCCGTGGTGATCATCATCTAGTCAGCTTGACAATGAGGATGAACAATCAATCACACAGGCATCAACTCACAACTGAATTCTGGTATCTATCTCTCCCGTCCAGTCAAAACATCCCTTTTCTCGGCCAACCCACACCTTCCTCCTCAGTTCCTGGTGGCCACTGGTCTGCTCTGCTCCTGCCAGGTCAGGGGCTCCAGAGTCCACACACAAGGGAGTCAGAGCACTTGTGCACTTCCCTTTTTGTACTTATCTTATCTCGCTGAACATGATGGCTACTGTGCATCCCCACAGCCAAGGATGGGGTCTCCTTCCCTCTGGAAGCTGAAGGTCCTGCACTGTGTTTGCATAGCAGGGTTTCTTCATAACGTGGTTGACGGACATGCAGTTTGATTCTGGTTGGGAGCAGTGGGAATAAGAATAGGACAGACATGGGGGAGTGGGTGCTATTTCATTTGCTCTAAGCCCAGGAGCGGCTTTACTGAACGTATGGTAGTTTTCATTTAGAGTATTTTGAGGGAATCTGCATCTTCTATTATTTCTGCACTGATTTAATTTCCACCCAACACACGAGAATCCCCTTTCCTCGCATGCTCGCCAGCATTTGCTTTTGTCCTTTCTGCAGCAGCCATTCTAACCTGGGTGACATGACACACCACTGTCATTTTGATATATATTCTGTCCAGTGCTGGGATGAGGCCTAAGGGCTGACACATGCTCCTTCGTAGCTCAGTTGCTGAGCGACGCCACCAGCCTGGGCTTACCTTTGCTGATTGCCACTGAACACCTCTCCAGATGTCACTGGCTGTTTGTGTTTTTCATATTTTGAGAAAGGTTTGTTGGGATCATTTCCCCTGTGTATTAACTCCTTACTGAAATGGCTAGATTATGGGTGCTTTCTTCTAACCCCACTTTCTTTTCCTTTGCTGTGTAGAAGCTTCTCTCCTTTGCCTGCTGTGGTGGATTGGACAAGAATGGCCCCCATTGGCTGATATATTTGTATTTCTAGTCTCAGAGAGTAATACTACTTAAAAGTATTCCTTGTTGGAGTAAGTATAGCCTTGTTGGAAGAAGTATGTCACTGGAGGTGGGCTTTTGAGTTTCAGAAGCCCAAGCCAGGCCCAGTGGCTCTCTCTTCCTACTGCCAGTGGATCCTGATGTAGAACTCGCAGCTTCTTCAGTGTTATGTCCGCCTGTGTGCCACCATGAAGAGTTGCCTTGGTCATGGTATCTCTTAACAGCAATTAGAACACTGATAATGACACTTGCTTTTGCTGCCTATGCTTTTGAAGTCCTAACTCTGCTTGTATCGGTGTCCTGGATCATTATCCAACCACCCTGTGTTTTTGAGACAGGGACCCATGTAGCCTACGCTGTCCTAGAACTTGAATATAGTTGAGGTTAGCCTTAAAGTCCAAATCTTCCTGCCTCCAGTTCCCAAGTACTCAGATCAGAGATGTAAGACACTCCTTCCCTCTCTCTCATATTTTCTCTCTGATTCATAATTTTAAGTTGTACTATTAAGTCTATAAGGTGATTTTGAATTGATTTTTATTTTTGTAAAAATTTCATACATGTATTTAATGTCTTCTGTTCATTCACCCTCATTGATTTCTCTTGTCCTCTCATCCTCTATCACTCCTGATAAAACCCCCTTCTTCCCAGCTAATCCCCTCTTCACCCTGTCATGTCTTTATACATAGAGACATACAAACACAGACACACAGAGATAGAGATGTAAAGGGACAGAGAGACAGAGAGAGAGACAGATAAACACAGAGTCCAAGAGACAGAGAGGTGAGGAGACAGAGACAGAGATATACAGAGAAGAGAAACAGATGGAGAGACACAGAGAGAGACAGTGAGACACACAGACACACACACACACAAACATGATGGGGGAGGGATTTGGGATCTCGTTCCATTCTTTAGCATGTGGATAGTGGTATTTCCCAGCAGAGACTACACATCTCCATTAAATGTCCATGGCATCTTTGTCAAATGCCAGTTAGTGATACAAGTGTAGGTTTAGTCTTAAGGTTTCTGTTCTTTGCTATAGGTCTATATATTTGTTTTTTTGTTAATACCATAATGATGATTTGATCATTATAGCTTTGTTTGTGGTATGTCTATAAGCCATGTGTGGGCAGTGCCAGATGAGACCAGAAGAGGGTGTTACCGATGGAGTTATGGATGGTTGTGAGCCACCATGTAGGTGCTGGGAATTAAACCCAGGTCCTCTGCAAGAGCAGTCAGTGCTCTTAACCTCTGAGGCATCTCTCCAGTACCTTTTTTAAGGCAGTATCTCACTGAACATTGAGTGCATCAATCTGCCTAGGTAGTCCAGCTGGCCAGTGGACTCCAAGGATCCTCCTCTCTCTCTGCTCTTACCAGTGCTGTTACAGATGCACACAACTGTGCCTGGCGATTTTGTTCACCTGTTTGTGTTTTAATGTAGGGCTGTGGATCTGAACTCAGACCCTCCCGTGTGTACAGCACTCACTTAACTGACAGAACCATCCCTCTAGCCCCTGTCCTAGTTTTCCTGTTGAACTGTTTTTGACAAGATGTAGCTCCTGGGCAAGCCCATTGTGTCTGGGTTTCTATCTCAGCACATATGGATCTGTTCTTTCTGGCACTTCGCCTCCCCCAACCCCCAAACTTGGAATCCTGTTTATATACAGTTACTTTTTTCTGGTCTGCTTCCCCACACTTTGTCATTTCTGTGTTTCTAGGGACTCAGCTTGGGCTTTGCTTCCTTTCATGCTTGTGGTGATTGTTTTGTTGGCTCTGACAAGTCTGTCTCTTCTCTTCCTGTCTTTGGGTGTGCTCTGTAGTTTTAGCCTCTGATTTCTAAAGTTGGCTGTTTAGCATGTGAACTTTTATTTCTTTTGGGTGGGAAAAGGATTTGAGACAGTCTCTTGTATCGTAGGCCATCATCAAATTTGGTGTGTAGCTGAAGATGAACTTGAACTCTTGATCCTCCTGCCTACCCCCTTCCAAGTGTTGGGATGACAGGTGTGTACTACCACACCTGACTCAAGCCTTGCTGTTTTTTTTAATAAAATAATTGTGTTTATAATTTCTTCTCCAAAAGTCTGTTTTTGTTGTATCTTTCAAGTTGTGAAAATATAGAGTATTTTCATTATTGCTCAGTATGTTATTATCTGTCATGATTTTCTCTGATCTATTTTAATTAAGAAGTAAATTATGAAATTTCTAAATGCATGGGGATTTTTAATTTATTCTTTTTGTCATGTTCTAACAGATTCATTTTGTTCAGAGAATTTCTTTGCTATGATAAGGATTCTTTGAAACTGTAAGACTTGCCTTATGGCCTAGAACTTTCCATTTCTGTAAATGTACTTGAGAGAAACATACATTCCTTAATTGATTCATGGAAAGTATTGGTGCGTATTAAATCCTACTGCTTTGCATTTTTCTTCCAATCTCTGCAACTCTGCCCTTGTTTGGTCTGCTTAGCCGGACAAAAATGGAGAGTGGATTTGAAAATCTCTCCCTGCAGTCCTGTGAATGTTTGCTCTATATTTTTTATAGTGCTTTTATAGGTTGTATTCAAGTTGAGCATTGGTGAGTTGCAACCTCCTATTGAGATGGAGAGGTCTTTCCTGTCCCACGTGGTGGC